TCAGAGAGAATTATTTAAAATATATTCACCAAAGACCACTGTTAACTCTCCTGGGAAATACTGCATAATTTTCAGAATTCAATGAGTTTAACATCTCTCTGTACTAACAGGGGAATGGAACATTACATGGGCTAAAAACTACATATGTACCGTACCTTCTTGGAGTTGTTTAGGAGAGTGGTTTTTGGCATTGTTAGTCAGAAGCATTCGCCGTAACAGGGCATCGGTGCCGGTGATTTCTTCCTCACAGACCCAGTCGTCCACAATACATAAATGCGGGTAGTTGGTTGCAAGGAGACGCAGTAAAGCAGAATGCAGCCCTAGAAAATTTACAAAACGTCACTGGAGTCCCCATTTTTACACACCAGAGGCTTTCCTACTTTTCTCCAATTCTGTAGTTAGAGCCAGGAATTTGCTTCAATAAAGATCTCCCAAGTGATAGGATTCAGTTAGTTGGAAATTACAGCCTATAACAGAAATTCGCATGCTTTCTTTTTCCCTATTCTAGCATAAACGTCCCCAATCAGGTTAGCCTGGTGAACAGTAGCTCAACAGTTGTAGGGGCAGAAAAGAAGGTCCATTTGGAGATTAGATATGGTTCGAGAGGAGGACCCACTGTGAAATTCTGATGAACCTCCTTACGAGAACATACCATCTTCCAATCCAGTTGCCAACTTTGAGTGGCGGCTAATGTGCATTTTTCTCACTTTACTCTAATGTCCTTCAAGATAAGCAACATTGCTTCAATTCTACAATAAGAAAACTAAGGCTGAAAGAAAGACATTTATCAACTTTCCCAGTCACATAGTTAAGTATGTCAGCAAAAAGACGCTGTTTGCTATACTAATTACTTCCACAAGAGGGTATATTTGTCTTACTTCAAAAAGACGTAGAAGAATGAGGGAAAATCTTCCTTTTACTAAATCAAAAGCCTTTGTTGCTAACATTTTGTTTTAACATAGTTTGAACATTCCTGACTATATTACATAACCTCAATCAGAAAATCAATGACAATGTCATAAAATGCTTATCTAGTTACATGAAGTACTACCGTGCTAAGTGCTTGGTGCATAAGTACCTAGTAACGACTGCTGCTACTGCTTCATCATCGTCATCATCTAGGGGAGTTGTAGTAATAAAAAGTATCCTAGATCAGGTCATCCCTTATTATGCAATTAAGGAGCATATCAAAGCATCATTTTAGCACCAACATGGGTAATGGCTGCTATCTTTCTCACATAAACTGCTTAAACATTAATGTTTCTGTTTGATAACTCACTGTGAAATAAAAAGTGGCATTATTTTTAAAGTTCATATCTTAAGTGAAAACAAAAAATATATGTATGTACATTTAAGATGACCACAAACTACTCACAAATGACTGAAAAATTAGTCTACTTTTTGGGGGGGCCATTAGCCATGTTGTTATATGGTGTCAAACATAACATTTCTTTGGAACAAGATCATGCAAAGATAAAAGTAAATGCAAACGTGAAAATAGCAAGAAGGCTCATTTTACGCTTTGAAACTAACCAAAAAAAAGTTAAACAGGAAAAAAAATCCACTCTGAAAAATATTACAAGGTGTTTAATTCGGGAAGAAAATCTGGTTCAGAAAATTGTCACAGTATTAGCTGCACTATGGAATACTATGGAGAAATTAAAAAGAGTAAGGTAGATCTATATTACTGTTTGAAAAAAATCTCCAAGACAAATGAAAAAGAGCAAGTCTCAAAAGAGGTAATTTTTTAAAAAAAATTTAAGAAGAGGTAACATTACTAGTTTAAAAAAAATTTGGTTTTATTTGTGTACCAGTTTCAATATTAGAATATTGTTTCAGTAGGTCAAAATATTGAGTACTTACAATGTTATATGACTCTACCTATATGGAAAAAAAAGTCTAAAAAGCCCTATCACATTGAAAATAGCCGGTGTGGTTCTGTGTGGGTGTCTGTGGAATTGGGGATGGTGTCAGAAGGAAAAAAGATCATTGACTGAGGGAGATGAAAAGGAATTTCAGTCTGAAAAGTCTAAATAAGAAAAAATTTAAAAAAACAAATCTGTGGCAATGAGGATCCATTACACTTTTATAGTACTGTAAACAGTGAGTTATTTAATAACAGTAAGAGCAATAAATACCTCCCATCTCCTGCTGCAGCCCTTGAGCCTGTCGAATAAGGAATTTGATAGGGATCTGGTCCATCAAAGAAGAAGAATATGATTTGGGCTTTCTTTGCATGGCAGCTGTCAGCCAAAAATAAGGTATAAAATAAATGGTGAAAAATAATAAAAATCGTAACCTTTAATCCAAATGAAAACAAACACAATGTCAAACCACGTTTCCCCTAAACACACCTAAAACGCAAATGCAGCACATAAATGACGAAGACTCACTACCAAAAAGCGAATACACATGAAGAGTA